ACTAATTCTGCTCAACCAGAAACTTTGAAAAAAATCGAGAATAACATATTTTCCAGAAAAATAGGAATTGGCAAAATTGATTTTCTTTCTGTATTTGTTGTCGTAGATGATAAGGAATACGATGTAGTTCAAATTAAATTGATAAGAAATTGTGTTCAACCTAAAATTTGCAAAAATTATATTGCAGAGAAAGAAAAAATAATAGAATTCTTTTCTAAATTAATGATTTTAATAAGATTTTTTTTGTAACTTGATGTTTAATATTTATTTAATAAAATTAACATTTAGGAACGTGTTTAGTAATATATAGTTACTCCTTAAATAGGTATCCAACACGTGCAATAAACACATCCCCGATTTGTTAAAACCGCAAGGAATTTACGATTACAGCTGGCTTCCTTCCTATAACCGACATAAACGGCAACACGGTCATTATATTTTCATCGCCACTTAAATTTTATTACGTGTCCAACTCAACAAATTCTATACAATTATGCAATAATTAAAAAATAAATTTTTTTAAATCTTTCAAAGTAAATATATAGGCATTTAGAATTTCAGATGAATCTTAAGTACTAAATATTTTCAAAAACGTTTATATCGTGCACGTGGATGTTTATTTCTCTTGGCATTTAACCAATAAGGCAAAATTGGCTTTTATTTTACACGTTTTATTACTGCAAAGTGATAATTTATGGGGAATTTCATATCTAACCAAATTTAATTTTGCGTTTTCGTTATTAACATTGAGGATATTCAAATAATTGTTTTATACACCAAAAAAGTTGTAAATTACTTAAAACCACTCTGTATATATATGTTGGCACATAAAATCAATTAAATTGACTTTTTATGTTCGATACCGATGTGAATCGAGCACGTGTACGGTAACGCAAGGTTATGTCATCACGTTGAAGTTGATTTCCAGTGCCACTTCCTATGTCCTAGAGAAAATGGGACACACCTACCTCTAACGATATGACATTGACAATTTTTTTTGTACAGGGTATTTCTAAAGTTGTGTTACAAATATCGAATTTATTTTCTTTGTAAAGTCTCGTTCATATAAACTTGTAATTTAAATTCAAATCATCAAATCAAGTATTAACACTTAATTAATTGCGTTGTGTCAAATAGCAGCGATTATATCAAGTAACTTGACAAGGAGAAAGTTTTAAAATTTGTTTTGGCATAACACACTGTTTAAGTTATCTATCAATTAACGTTGGGTTAGCATCATGATAATATCTGTAGATTTACGATCGATTAAAGTTATTGATTTAACTCTAACTCAGAGTTAACATTCGATTAACTCCTGGTTAAGCGTTATTTACGGTTATTTAATTACACTTTAAGAACCTTAAGAATTAATAATTGTTAAAAATTATTTTGATAAACGAATTTTTCTCTTAATTTTTTTTGTCTCATCGTGACACACTTCTGCTAATTAAAGCGTATAAGCGGCGCGAGTTGCTCTAGATCCCTTCGATAAATAAATATAACCGTCGTTGCCCTATTTTTCTGCTCAATTACGCACGTTTATCGATTCCGTTCCATATCTGTGGAACATTACGTGTACCCCTCAAACATAAACCCGAATTGGGTTAATTAAAACGTCCCGAAATCTACACTAAGAAGCGCTAATTAGCTATTTTTAGAGGTCTTAAACGTTCAAGGCTCGATTTTTTTTTCGTATTTTTCAGTGCTATCTCTGACGTAATAATTTTTTTGCGTAACACCACGATTTGATATAAAATTAAAATCCTAACTCATTCTGTCTTGCTTTATCCTCTTTTATCTCGCACGTTTATCTTTATTATTATTATTTTATAAGGTTTTTTTGGGTCGTTTTAATTTGGCCCCCAAGTTTCTTTGGTTTTCGGGTTGGGTATACTTTTAGAGTGGGAATTGGTTTCGGTGGAAATCGGTGCCGCAAAGTGGTCAAGGTTCGCTGAGTGAAAGCACAAACTTTCCCCCACAACCCAACGAATATCCCAATGTTTTCCTCAATTAGATAATCTTATTAAGTCATTTCACAGGATCTCTTTTTTTATTGTTTTCTTTCATGACCTAAATATTTACTAACAAATTAATTATCTTATCTTATATGATTAATAAAATAGTTTAGTTTTACACCAATTAATTTCTTTTGAGTATTTTTGTGTTATCAGCCCCAAATGTTATGGTGTTATTTGATAATACAATTTATAACTTTCTCATTAATTTTTTTTGAAAACCATTAACTCTCTGTCATTGTAATCGACCCTGGCCTCATTTTTGTTTACACAAAATTTAAGTAATCGATTACGATCTACCCAAAAACTTATTTCCTCAGCATCATTATCAAAAATTTTCTATTTCCATTAACATGTACAGAGTTGGTGAAAAGTTACGTAAACAATTCCCCATTCGGTTGAAACCTCTCCTTCTTCATTGTTTCATCACTGTTACGCAAATTTCTACCCAACCTCCACATCTCAACCACCTCCTCGGCCTCCTCCACCACCTCTTCTCGCCTAAATATAGATCCAAACACTCTCTTGGGCTATTTGAAAATTGACGACGATCAAAGGAGAAAGTGATGAAGACGATGACGATCGCTCGCGATTCGTTCTTGGCCTCCCCGCCGACTTAACACTTTCTAATTCGGGATGAACGCTGCTACAAGAGGAGGTGGAGGGAAACGAACCCGTGAAAGGGTCCCAACCAGAAATATCTCGTTTGCGTTTCTTTTTTTTATGGAAACGATGGCAACAAGGAGGATGAAAAAGAGGATAGCAACGTCCTCTTCTTCTCGGACTCCTCCGGAGTTTAACGTGTTAGCCCCGCGAAGTCGCGAGCCCGTCAGGTTGTTGACTGAATTGTCCGCGGAGTGTTGACCTCTTCTCCTCGTCCGTTTTTCTACGCCGTCGCGGCCGGGAGCAATGCACCGGGTCTGACCTTCGGATGGGACAATTTTATACCTTCTAAATTCTAATTCAAAAATGGAAAACTTTATTATAATAAATCAGTAATTCTCCTAAACTTTCAAACAATTGTTCTTTGTTCCCCAAGGAGCCTTAATCGTAAGGTTTTAAATGAAAGAGGGGGTCGTATTATGTTTACGAAACCCACCCCTGATAGAAACTTGGTCCCCAGTTTTGTTCCACGGTCGAATTGACCATTTGTTAACAGCCGGTTTCTCTTCGGTCGTCGTGAACAGCAAAAAAAAAGAACCTTCAAATACGTCCGCTAAAAAAATGGTGAGGGTTTTTGTTGAAGAAATTACCTATCACAGGTAAAAATAAAAATCATCCTCTTTATAACTTACATTAGTTATTAATCAAATTAATTTGTTTATTAATTTTCTTCATTCACTCATAAAAACTATCTTTCACACAAAGATTTTAAGTAATTCAAAGAAATGAAATGTCTTTGTGAAAAGCAAAACAGCTGTCGGTGTACTCTAAGTCGGTGTCGTCTACCTGCCGTTTTCTTAGCTATGTTAAGTTTTTAGTTCGTTGGTTTGGTACTACAGGTAAAATTGTATTGTAAAATATATATATAGAAATTATGAATGATTTAATAGATTACCTGTAGTTTATGGCCTAACTTTATGCGAAAAGTCTTGATTAAGCAGAGGTCTCTTGCGTCGAAGCTATGTAATTTGTATCATAACAACCCAGAACTGGTTACCTAACTTAAGGTGAAGAATATTTAACTTAGTCGAGGTCGCTTAGCACCGAGGCGCTACAAGTCATACCATAACGATGTTGCATTGAACAACACATTTTTTTAATCAAATCTATGATCGTGAAGGTATCAAAGTGAAATTTACTGTTTCATTGATAAAACAAAAAAAAATTTGTTATGTTTGTCAAGCCTCATGTTTTACTTTACTCTGCAGACGAGGATAACCAGCTCTGTGCCCACCTCTTGGCCACGGTCGTCCTTGTGGTCTTTTTCCTTTCGGGCGTCCATACATGCATATTCTAACCAATCTCTCATCCATTCTTTCCATATATTTTCTTTCTTACTTTTGTCCATTTTACTACATCCTGTGTCACTCTGTTTAGTCTTCTTCGTTTCTGCTGTTAAAATTGAGTTGTTAAATTATATTTTATTCGGATAAAAACTATTTTCTGTGGTTCATCTGTCATTGACATTAATTTTAAAATTCAAATTAATAAACTTCCAAAGTTATTTAATCCTCTATTGACATTTTGAAAAAAAAATTTGAGGTTAGGTCATTGTTTACATATCACAACTTCGAAATTAAAGATAACCTAGAAAAGAACTTAAGTTTAATTAAACCGATCCAAACTCTGACTTAACAATTTAAATTCAATAAAAAATGTAATAAGATTATTAAAAAAATTCCTCGATTCAAATTGAACCTCTTCTTTCTGTCTCTTTTCTTCGGTTAAGTAGGTAACTAGATCTGTGCTCTCTGACACGAAAGTGCTATCTGCGTAGACACGGCACCTTTTATCGTTTTTTCGCGACCTAACCTCGAATCCCGACCGATCGCGAGCCTCTCTCTCTCGTTCCAGTTCCGCAACGAAACGGTAACGACATCCCACTTTGAGGCATCTTTGACAAATTCGACCATAAATTTTGACATCAAAACGACAACCGTAATGACACAAATAGATAAATGACAATAATTAGTTTCTGTTGTCACGAATAGATGACGCTGGAAAATGTTAAAAAATTAATTTAACACAAAAATGTATACATATATAAAAAATTTAATTTCTTTTTTGAAATTATTAGTTAAATTACCAAAAATTTTCAAACTAATTTAATGTAAATTAATTAATTAATTAATTTTTAATTTTTTTTTAAGTTTGTAGCAATGTTACGTCATTTGAAACTGTCAAAACACAGAGATTTATCGTGAAAAATTCTTTAAAAAAATTCTGTGTCTCAAATGTACATAACTTGTACAACCGTGTTATAATGATAATTTTGAGAAGAAAAAGAAATGGTGTTACCTATAGATATGATATTTATTCTAGGCTGCCGGTCGTGAGTGATTGCTCTGCCGGGCAGACGGCTCGAGTGACCTCCAACCTCCATCCGACGAGCAGCATGGCAGTGAGCAGGGTGCCGAGTCCGCCTCCAGTCGAAGTAAACACCCCCGTTGCCGAAAATTGGTGTTACACACAAGTAAGATTTCAACACATTAATTAAAAACATATTTAAAACTCATTTTTTATTTTAGGTCAAAGTGGTGAAGTTTAGTTACATGTGGACAATTAATAATTTTAGTTTCTGTCGAGAAGAAATGGGGGAAGTGTTAAAATCTTCAACCTTCTCAGCAGGAGCTAACGACAAGTTAAAATGGTATAAAAAAAAAAAGATACAGAACTCAATTTTCATTTTCAAATTGTTTTAGGTGTCTCCGGGTAAACCCAAAAGGTCTCGATGAAGAAAGCAAAGATTACCTTTCGTTATACCTTCTTTTGGTGTCTTGTAACAAAAGCGAAGTGCGGGCGAAATTCAAATTCAGTATACTGAACGCGAAACGAGAAGAAACCAAAGCGATGGAAAGTCAACGAGCGTACCGATTCGTTCAGGGAAAAGATTGGGGCTTTAAAAAGTTTATCCGGAGGGATTTTTTACTTGACGAAGCTAATGGGTTACTTCCAGATGATAAACTTACTATTTTTTGCGAGGTAAATTATTTGGCGTAAAAGTGACATCTATTGGCGAAAAGCTCAGTCATTATTTTATAGAAATTGACAGAAATAAAAAACATAACCTAAAAATCGAAATTTTAGATTTAATTCGATTTAATTGTTGATTTATTTTTGTTTTAGGTTAGCGTAGTAGCAGATAGTGTTAATATCTCAGGGCAGTCAAACACCATTCAGTTCAAAGTTCCCGAGTGTCGACTTTCGGACGATCTCGGTCAGTTATTTGAAAATCAAAAGTTTAGTGATGTTACGTTATCGGTGGCCGGTAGAGAGTTTCAAGCTCATAAATCCATTTTGGCAGGTAAAATTTAGTAATATTGGTTTTCGATTTTTTGATAATTTTTTTAAATTTTAGCTCGAAGTCCTGTCTTCCAAGCAATGTTCGAACATGAAATGGAAGAACGCAAACATAACCGCGTCGATATAACCGACGTAGACCATGAAGTATTAAGGGAGATGCTTAGATTTATTTATACGGGGAAGGCGTCGAATCTTGAAAAAATGGCTGATGATCTTTTAGCTGCAGCAGATAAGGTGCTAATAATGAATTAATGTTGTATGATTATTTTTTAAATTATAATTTTTTTAATAGTATGCACTGGAAAGATTAAAAGTGATGTGTGAAGAGGCGTTATGTACCAACCTTTCGATTGAAAACGCGGCGGAAATCCTAATTTTAGCAGATCTTCATAGCGCGGATCAATTAAAAGCGCAAGCCATAGATTTTATTAACACGTGAGTATTTTTTTCTTTTATTTAATGTTTGTGAAATTATTAAAAGAAAAATTTTAATTTTTGTTTATGAATTATGAATTAACTATGCAGACTGATAATCTACTTAGGAGTATGTACAAGAAATGATAATGAAATACTCCATATAACACATACATAATAAGTTAATAACTGAAATGAAATGTTGTGTTTGTGTGATTTTTCGCTAGCAGACATGCAACGGACGTGATGGAAACGCCCGGATGGAAGTCGATGATCCTAACGCACCCGCATTTGATAGCGGAGGCGTTTCGCGCATTAGCAACCCAACAGATACCTCCGATAGGGCCGCCGAGGAAGCGTGTCAAACAGAGCTGAAGCGTCGCCGCGTCAAGATGGTGCCACGCAGACTGCTTATATGTGTTCAAAATGTAATATAATATACATAACATTAACTATCTAAAATTAGGCACACACGGACACTTGATTCCAGAGAAAAAAAGTGCTTGTATCGCTGTAGTTTAATTTCCTTGTGGTTTTACTTCGTTGCGAAAGTTGATGAAATAAAAAAAAATTCTTGTAAACGTAGGTTCTAACTAACAAAGAAAACAGAATTGTGATATAAATAGACCACGGCTTGTTCCTATCGAGGGACTGGTAAAGAAAAAAAACCTCCTTTAATATTAATTGATTAATTAATTGATTACTTCTTAAGTTTAGAGTTGTATTTAATATGATCTCTCCGATTAAGCTAAGCGTGGAGCGAACGTAACCGTTTAGTACCCTACCTTACATCAATAATTACAAAAGAAAAGGAAAGCGATAAAACATTTCAATTCGTACATTTTTTTTTGTTATTCAGTTGTGTTATTAATTTTTATTTAACTGAAACTTTGTAAATTTTTGCATGGGTAATTTTCAAAAGTCTTGGAAAATCGGCGACAAATCTATGCTTTTCTATAATATTATGTATGTTTGTTTCTTTTTTGTTAATTTTTCCGGAGTCATCGTCTCGTTTATAAATTTATTTTCTGTTTGATGAATTAATTGTTTTTAAATGAAACGGGACGGTAGCTTTGATACGTTCTAGAAATCAATGCTTGGTATTCGTACGGACGGATGCACGGAACGGGGCTCGTCCGTTCGCCGAGACACCATAAGCCATTATAATATGTGATACATAAAAAAGAAAATGAATAATAGGCGGCAGAATTACACACGTTCGCGGTCCGAGCATCAATCGTTATAGGGTTTAGTTACTTGCTGTCCCGATAGTGTACATTTCAGGTATTTTTTACAGTTAATAAGTGTTTACTTAAATAGCACAAGTGTAATAAAACATTTCATGAAATTATTACGGTTTTATTTCATTATTTAGTCTCCAACTAAATCCTCTTTACTTTCACATTGCCATCTAGTGGTAATCACCCATATTAAATCAAATTTTTGACATTTAACAACCACCGGTTACATTTCGTCTTAAAATAATGTAATTTTACAAAAGAACAGGTAAAAACAAACCAAATTGCGTTTTTGATCATGTAAATTATTTATTTAAAGTGATTTTAGGTTCTACAAAGTGTTTTTCCCCCTCAAAATAATCAACGAAGTTTGTATCCAAAAACATAACCTAAATTTTATTACACGTCAATTTGAAATTATTGGGAGTTTCTAAAATCGAGGTGATTTCCTACAACAAAAACACAGTATGTCGATTAATTTTAAATTATATTATTAATTAATTGCTATATTTAATAAGTTGTTAATTAAAAAATTTGAATTTTCGTAAAATTGCTCGCCCCATCTAGCGGTAACCACACTTAAATTGTATTTTTGACATTTCAAAACCACCGGTTACATTTTTTGTTAAAATAATCAAATTTTATAAAAGAAGGTGTCAACGAGGTAAAAGCAAATCATCAAATTTCGTTTTTAAACATTCGACATATATTAAGATTAGCTGTCCCTCTTAAAAATCGATGAATTTTTTTTTAATCGGTAGGAAATGACTCAAAAGATGTGTTAATGATAAAAAAAAAGTGCGGAAAAGTGTAGTACTTACCGAAAAATCACTTTAAAGTTGCGATTTGACGTTTCTTTTTGGAAGTTCAAAGCAATGTTAAAATTGCATTTTCGTATTAAATCCTAACCTGAAACTGTTTAATTTATACCCGCGCACAAAATAAAAAGTTATTTTCACTAAACTTATTGAGATTACAACATATTTACGGATGAAAACCTTATTTCTTA